ATATCTTAGATTGCATCAGAAAATTCATAGAGGTGAGAAACCATACAAATGTGTTGCATGTGGTGAAGTGTTTTCTTACAGCTCTTGTCTAAGAAAACATCAGAAAACTCATACTGTGGAGAAAAGTGTCTTTAGTATATAATGTAGCATATGTTTTATCCTGTTATAATAATTTTAAAAGTGTCTGGTTTTTCTAACCCAGCTAGCTGCCAAATAAGTGAGATTTATTCAACAAGTTTTAAGCACAACTAAGGCACTCATCTTTCTAACTCTCTATGATACTTTAACTACTTCCTAGCCATATGCCCCAAGTTACTTGCCATTCTCAGTCTCATCTTGGCTCTGCTATATCGGTCCGTCATCATGGAGAAACTCCCATAGCGACTTCTCTTGCACCCTCTCCTTTCTCATGGCCAGCTCCTCTCTTAACCCCTGGCTGGCTACTCTTCTCCATCATTGGCTGTTCAGCATTTTGTTAACCAATCAGATAATTGGGGGGCATTGTTTACACCACATTGATACAGGAGATGGTTCAATTCATTACAAAGCCCATGTTCAGACTGTAACCAGATCTTGGCACAAAAATCAGCATCTGAATATACAGCACAGGAGACCAACCCTCAACATTATCCAAGCTATGTCCTTGGGGAACACTGCAGACTACGTACTAGAAAATCAGTGTGAACATGAGAGAACCCTTTTAAGTAACATTCAAATCTTAGAAAATACTAAAAGCTGTGGAAAATTTCTGAAAAATGCAACAATGTGGAAACATTTATTTAAATATTAATAGTTTTTTTAATTTTAAATATTTTATAATGAATACAAAATGGAGAAGCCCAGTGAATGTGTTGCATTTCCTTGAGACTGGTACATTCCATTCTGAATGGCAGGTGTCTAAGACAGGAAATAAAACCACTCAAAATAGCTTCAAGAAAGTCCCTGAATATGACAGAATTCAGTGCATTTAACATTCATGAAGAAGGGTGGATTTCTGTGACTTTGAGGCCAGGCTGGTCTACAAAGTGAGTGCAGGATAGCAAACTACACAGAAAAAAACCCTGTCTTGAAAAACCAAAAAGAGAGAAAAACTTTCATGAAGAAACACATCAATTATGCTCTTTAGATGGGGTTTTAACAAACTGAGCCACAAAGGCAGTTCACCTTTTAACCTTTTGGTATGCCTGCAGGTGTGCCGTGCGTTCCAGCAGTCTAGTATACATAAGCTGTATCCCATGCTATGCTGTAGTTTTTTGATAGCAATTATCTTTGAGTTTCTTTTTTTCCCCTGTAATCAGCTCCTTCCCTGTAATCCTGTCAAGTAACCCTAATAAAGCTCATTGGTTCAACAAGATGAACTTCAGTGCATCCATATTCTGTTTTCAGTTCCCATTTTGGGTGAGTAGATGCATATGTATTTTGCGTCTTCACAGGAAACAACTGTCATGCAATGTGTGCTAACCCTGTTCTTCGTTCTTCCAAACTGCTGTACACCAGAAAATTGAAATTAGAGAAAACAGTTGAGTCAACTCAATTAAGGAAGATTGTGCTTATTTCTCCAAGCTTGCTGCCATAGAAGTACCTGGTCTTGTTAAAAGGGCTCAACACAGAATATGTGAGTGTAATTTTTATTCACCTGATTTACTTGTCTTGCATGCTTACTGCCTCTGGTACTTATTGCCTCTTACTAAACTAGGCCTAGTGCTGGAAGCTTCTACGCTCCATACAATCTAATCTAGGTCTAGAATGTTTTCAGCCTCTTAGACTTACTGCTGAGCTCACCCTTTCTAGCTCTCTCTGAACTATTGCTGATTAGTTTAACTCAGCTGTCCTGGCTTAAACTCCTTTTATTCTGGCATCTCTCTTGGCCTCTGAATTGCTGTGCCTGACCTCAAACTAACTCTAGCAATTTGTTCTAATCTGCTGGTTCTTTCTCATACTCTGGCTTAATCTGTCTTCACATTAGTTTAATAAGCATCTTTTTAAAGGTTCTATTGGCTCTTTCTACAAGTGCTTGACCTTTAGGATTATGTGGAATACCCGTAATGTGCTTTATATTGTAATATACAAAGAATTGTTTCATCTTATTGGATACATATGCGGGAACATTATTAGTGTTAATTTGTTCAGGTATCCCCATAATTGCCATTATTTCTAATAACTGTGTAATTACACAATCAGCCTTTTCAGAACTTAAAGCAGTCACCCATTGAAACCCTGATTATGTGTCAATGATATGGTGCCTTTGTTTTTGATATACCTATGTTTTCCAAATTCTGCAAAAACAAAATAACAACAACAAACATCTGCCAGATTTCAATTTGCTTGGTACCCCTAGGGTTACTACCAGCAGGTAACAGAATTTGGTTATATAGAGAACATGTAGGACATTTTTTTATTATTTCTTTGGCTTGTTGCCAAGTGATAGAAAATGTTTTCTTTAAACCTTTCCCATTAACATAATGTTTCTTACAAAATTTGGAGGCTTCTAACACATTCCCTACCTGTAATTGGTCAATTACCTTATTTTCTTGTGCCAATTGATATGACAAACCTGTATGAGACCAAATATGAGTAATATATAATAGACGGTTTCTCCTTCTGACATCACGTTGTAATCACAAGAACAAATTCAGCAGTCTTTATAGGCAAAACAACTCTCTATGCATATAAAGAATCAGTAATGATATTAAGAGATTCAGGAAAGTCTAAAGATAACATAAGCCTTGCATACATTCTGATTTTTGAACTGAGGTATATGGACTTTTGATCACCTCGCTTACTTTGTCTGACTAAAAACCTGCCATCCCCTTCTTGTTTGCATCAGTATAGAAGGTGGTGCCTATGGAATTGCTTTTCTCTTTACGATACGTGGAAGAATCCAATTAGTTCTTTTTATAAAAGGAATACGTTTGCTTTTAGGATATTTATTATTAATTTCTTCCAAGTAGTTACAAGCTCTATGCCAGTCTTCACTGATCTCCCACAATGTCATGATGTCAATATTAGTAAGAGGTACAATAATTTCGGCTGGGTCTGTTCCTGAAAATTGATGTAGTCTTATTCTACCTTTTACAATTAATTCAGAAATCTTTTCAATATATATCTATAAACTGTGTATTCCTATAAACTATGTATAAATCTTCTGAGGTGGCCAATCTGGATTCCAAGACTTTTGGGAAAGTATACTGACATCAACTCCTGTCCAGCAAACATTCTCTTTCAACACCATTCATTTCTACCATTTATTTGGGTTCGGATTGTTAACCACTGTTGGCCAGAACACACGTTTTCCAGTACTCCCAAAAGCCACTGTCTTTTCTACTGGAGAGGCCTTGTCCTTGATGTAAGGAAACAGTAACTGCTGAGCAGTTCTCTTCCCTGAGTTATTTTGCATCTCCTTTTTTACATACACCATTATTTTAATTTTTTCCTTGCAATCCCCATCTATGATACCTGGATATACAATAAATCCTTCAGAAGTTAATCTACTTCTTCCCTGGATTATTCCTACTGTCCCTGAAGGTAAAGGACCATAAATACCAGTGGTTATCTTGTTTCATTCAACCTTTGGGGGTAGTGTAAGAGGCATACCTCTGGCCAGATCCAAAGCTCCACTACCTTCAGTAGTATGCATTAGATCATCAGCACTTAGTATTGATTTTCCTGCCCACTTGGTACCTCCTGGCTGACTGAGGGAAGATTGTCGCATTGTTTGTTTTAGGGGCTCAAGCTGACAGTCCCTTTGTGGCTGGTAACCTCTTACTGGTGGCAAGAGGTTACCTTGTATGTCTCTTTTGGACTTACAATCCCTAGACCATTGTTTTCCCTTGCCATATGGCTACAAAACCTGGAAGCTTTTGCATTCCATTGCAGCCAGAGACTGCCTGTTCTCTTCTACAGACATCATTTTCTTCAGAATCAGTGTGCCTACTATTTTGACCTCTGAAGCTTCTAGTGTTACAGTTGCTATAGAAATGGCCAAATTCACCGCAATTATAACTCCAGGCATTTGATTTCCAAGATTTCTAGCTATAGCTTGTCCAATGATACTGGCATTATGCTCCTGAGAGCCAGTGTCAGTTGTCTCTCTTATCTATTCATCTATTGGGGCTCCTCAAGCTTTTTTTTTTATTAATTACACTTTATTCATTTTGTATCCCCCCATAAGAACCTCCCTCCTCCCCTCCCGATCCCACCCTCCCTCCCCTTTCTGCATGCATGCCCCTCCCCAAGTCCACTGATAGGGGAGGTTCTCCTCTTCTTTTTTTTATTATTTTTTTAGGATTTTTTTAATTTTTTATTAATTACACTTTATTCATTTTGTATCCCCCCATAAGCCCCTCCCTTCTCCCATCCTGATCCCACCCACCCTCCACTTTCTGCATGCATGCCACTCCCCAAGTCCACTGATAGGGGAGGTTCTCCTCTTCTTTCTGATCTTAGTCTATCAGTTCTCATCAAAAGTGGCTGCATTGTCCTCTACTGTGGACTGGTAAGGCTGCTCCCCCCTCAGGGAGAAGTGATCAATGAGCAGGGCAATCAGATTATGTCAGAGGCAGTCCCTCTTCCCATTACTATGTAACCCACTTAGACACTGAACTGCCATGGGCTACACCTGTGCAGGGGTTCCAGGTCATCTCCACGAATAGTCCTTGGTTGGAGTATGAGTCTCTGGGAAGTTCCCTGTGTTCAAATTATCTTGTTCTGTTGCTCTCCTTGTGGAGTTCCCGTCCCCTCCAGCTCTTACTATTTCCCACTTCTTACATAAAATTCCATTCACTCTGCCCATCAGTTGGTCATCAGGCTCAGCATCTGCTTTGACAGTCTATAGTGCAGAAGATTTCAGAGGCCCTCTGTAGTAGGTTTCAAGGTTGTTTCCTGTTTTCTTCTGGCTTTCAGAGGCCCTCTGTAGCAGGTTCCGAGGTTGTTTCCTATTTTCTTTTTCTTCTGATGTCCATCCTCTTTGCCTTTCAGGATGGGGATTGAACATTTTAGTTAGGGTCCTCTCTTTTGCTTAGTTTGTTTAGATGTACAGCTTTTAGTGGGTTTATTCTATGTTGTATGTTTATATGAGTGAGTATATACCATGCGTGTCTTTTTGCTTCTGGGACAACTCACTCAGGATGATTCTTTCCAGGTCACACCATTTACCTGCAAATTTCATGATTTCCTTATTTTTCATTGCTGAGTAATACTCCATTGTATAGATGTACCACAGTTTCTGCATCCATTCTTCAGTTGAGGGGCAACTGGGCTTTTTCCAGCTTCTGGCTATAACAAATAAAGCTGCTACAAACATAGTTGAGCAAATGTCCTTTTTGTGTACTTGAGCCTCTTTTGGATATATGCCTAGGAGTGGTATGGCTGGATCTTGAGGA